AAACAAATTACTGTACCTTAGCACCTCTGTTGAGCAGAAGCCTTGCAGCACTGACGTTATTGATAAAACAAGCATAGTGTAACGGTCTAAGTCCACCTGTGACTTCTCCATCAGGCTGAAATGTAAACACATGAGTTAGAAAGTAAACAAGTAACATCAAAGTGTTTACAATATTTAAGCTGATGACCTTCAATCATTTCCTGTCAAACTTGCGGCGTTTAAATAGGAAATAAATAAGAGAGGTAAACAACTATCTATTGTTAAGAGCGTATGTTATAAACCTCCTTATACGAGGATAACAAAACAGTACCTGAGCTCCACAGATGAGCAACGCACGAATTTCTTCGGTTGGTGCATAGTTAGTGATCTTGTCTGCTAACTGACGCTGGAAATAGCAAAATTAGCAAAATTAAAATCTTATTCGTAGGATTTTTAGTGGTGGCTTCATCTTCTTGATTTTTTCTCACTGCCAATGGCGGTGGCAATAACTATCTGTCTAGTGCACTTGCGAGCTGCTTCTGCTTTTCCCAAACACATTTCCTTCCGCCAGATAACAAATTACACAACATCTCCTTCACTCATTTCCTCTACCCTAATACCACACCTAACGTCATGTCGCGCTTGTTGAGAGCAAATTTCGTGCGAAAAGCAGACGTTTTGCACCCTTTCGCTCTTCACATCGAGTTCGACGCGAACACAACGAAACAGCTGATTGCGATGTTGACAAGCCGCTACAGGACAATGACGTCATCGCAAGTCGCGCACAACAACGTGCCGACTTGCGCCCTCATCGTTGTCGTCGTCGCCATGTAATTGTGTGGTTGTTGACCACAACAAAGCTGTTGTGAAAACGCCGAATAACGACTTTCGAGTGCCGGCACAGACTGTCTCATTTGACAAAGAAAACAATGAAGACAGAGAACGCCACGATGTTGAAGACTAGAGAGCAATAAAGCTGAGGAAAGGGTTAGCATATGGGTAAAAGGCTAAGGTTTCCAAGACTTGAGCAATCTATTGATCAGTTATGCTGAAATATGTATTTTAGTGCAGCGGCCTTTGAATGCAGGAAAAACAAAATTAACAAAAGAAAAATACTCAAATTTCATTTTGTATTGGAATTGCAGCTTTATTGTTGAAGGGATTTTATATATGAAAATTTTTTGAGTCATGAATGAATCATTCCATTCATTTATTAATTTGCTCATAAATTCAATCATCCATCATCTGACAAGTTCTAAAAGGTATTTCTGAAAGAAATTAATCGTTTTAAACACCAAGAAAGGCACAGAATTCTAGAAAATTATGCCCTAATGAAATATGCCTAGCTAACCCCGTAGTTCATTTCTATCTACATCCTAGGACAAGCCGACAACTACTGTATTTTCAAACAAAATCAGTAATATTTCGAAAACAAGTATTAACTCTGAAACATTGAGATCGCTTAAGCTCCTCTTCGCATATGGATAACCAAGCGGACTCGATGAAACTTAAAGCAGTAACTAGCACCTTAGAATCCCTACAATTTAGCTTCAAGTCGTTACTTGAAAGGAAAACCAGTTAATTGCCGATTTCATATAAAAAAAACATAATTTGTTAGTTCAAATAGTAGAGGTAGTCGTTCTTTGTAGTCCTTGCAAGTTTGCAAGTCTAATGCGCAATCAACGAGACAAAAATACATAGTAAAGTGCAGTTCTCTCGTTTTAGTATAAACCATATGATTCCCAGTTT